AGCTGTACCAGAACTGCTCGCCGCCCCCCAGGCGCTGGGCCCTCTCAATCATCTTCTGAGCTAGTCCGTAGTTCTTCTCCTTATTTGCCAACTGGGCTAAAAGCTGCAGGCACTTCGATTCTGCACAAGGATCGTCGAGCTCCTGAGAAAGAGGCAAATACGGGGACAGGACGGGAGCACGGGGGGAGGCGCGCAGGAGAGACACAGAGAGACAGAGACAGAGACGGGGAGACGGTGGCACCAGGCCTCTGCACACCCGCCATCTGAGCTCCTCTCTGACCACTCACTGTAGGACGAGCCGAGAGTGGGCGGAACTGAGACTCAGGACATGGGGTGGGGACTCTGGCGGGTGGACGGCTGGGAAGGAATGTGCCTTAGGCTGCTGCCAAGGAGACGGGGCAGAGCACCGTCTGTGCGTGTGGGACGCATGTCCTCCTGGCCTTGCAAGAGAAGGCTCGGGAGGGTCAAGATGGCAGCCAGGTGGAGGTGACGACAGGGTGGACGACCCTTTCGTGGGTCTGGGGAGGCTGAGGGGAAGGTCAGGCATGCTTGGGCACAGGATGGGAGCCACGATCACGGCGAGGTGGTGGCCTTGAACAAGCCAACTTCTGTTACCAGCACCCGTGATGTATCGGTGTCGGCCCACTGCCTCCACCTCCTTGGCCTCCAGCAGTGAGAACGCTGGGTCCTCCCACCCGCTCGGATCCTGGTTCCTGCCCCTGGAGCCCTCTTCCCTCTGGTGTCAGGAGAGCCAGCGTCCGCAGAGTGCTGCACCCCCGGGGCCCGCCCTGACCGCCGTCCCGTCACCGGCCACGCTCACTCTTGAGTCTGGTCTGCACACGCCTGTCTCCCTGCCTGAAACAGGTCTGAGCCTCCCAGGGCTTTGAGTCTGGCACCTTTCTTCGGGATGCTGCTCTCTCTGGGCTTCTTTCCCCAAACAAGGGACAGCCTGCCTGCTCCGCAGCTTTCCCTCGCCCTCCCAGTGAACAGTCCGAACGCCGGACAAGACAGAGCCCTGCGTGAGGCCCTGGGAGGTCTGACACTGCGGGAGGGGAGAGCCGTGGTCTCTGGGGGGGGGGTGCAAGGCAGCTCCGCCCTGCCCCAGGTTCTTCCTGAGGGCACACGCCCTCGTGGGGACACAGCCCAGGAAGGGAGCCACAGCTAGCTGAGAGGAGGAGGCTGGAGCTGGGGGTTCCTGGAGCTGACCCCAGAAGGGCCAGTCCCAGGGATGGGGGACGGGGGAAGCAGAAGATCTGTGCTCAGGGGCAGAGCAGGAAACAGTAGGAGCGGGGCCAAGGGGCTGAGCTGCGATCTGAGAGTCCAGGCTGGAACCAAGCCTTTCTCAGGGGTCTGGGTGAACCCCAGGCTTCCAGTGTAACCCCAGAGAGGCCCCAGACTCCTGCCAGGCCCACACGGAGGAGCAGGGACCAAACTCTGCCTCTTAGAACAAAACCAACGCTCTTGGCCTCTCCGGGGTCTCATCGCCCACACACAGTACCGAACGGCCTGCTCAGAAACAGAGAACCCCTCAGGACCAAGAAAACAGAGGCCGCAATACAGACCCAGGGCAGCTGCAGGAACCAGGGGCTCTGACTCGGGCATGAGCTCCGGGCCGGGGACACGCGAGGGTGGCTCTGCAAACAGCAGCCGGGGTGACCCCGGGCAGCCGTCAGGGCAGACAGGCCCCCGCTTCCCGGCAAGCAGCAGCCCCGCTGCGGGCTGGGGTGTGGGGCCGCTTCTGAGCATGACTGGGCGGGTGTGGCCCTCACCTGGAAGGCCCGGTGCGCCTCTGACAAGAGCAGCCTCGCAGGCTGGTAGAGGTCCATCGCAAGCAGAACCTCTGCCTTGAGGGTCCACAACAGAGGGAAGGACGTTCCTTCCAGGCCCCTCCCGGTCTCTCCGTTTACCTGCAGAATCTGTAAGACACACAGGCCGCGGGCATCGGCGCCAGGGGCTCCTCGTGCAGAGGAGGCTGCATCGAGCTGTGGTGCGAGCTTCATGCCAGATCCTGTGCCTCCGAGCGCGCTTCGCTCGAGTGCTGGGCCTGGGTCTTCTCTGGGGACACCTGTCTCCTCTCACCTCACACCCAGCCGCACCCACCAGCAGCTGGCGGGAGCTGGTTTCGGCTGGCCCGCTCCCTCCCCGCCCTCCCCCTGCACCAGGCAGCACCCTGGCCAGGGTAGGCCACAGCCTGTGGCGGGGATGGTCACCCTCCTGCAGGGCTAGGCCCCTAGGAGGAGCGCCCGCCACGTGGGTGATAGCCAGCCCTGCTCACACCTCCTGGGCCCGCTCCGGCTGCGAGGGCCTCGCCCCACCTGGGGGCCTGGCGGCTCCCCTGGACCCCCTCTGCTGATTCGCCACTGGGGCCCTGCCGTCTTGTCGTCCTCCCCAGGGACTCCCAGGGCCACACGGGGCGGGGACGCGTCCCAGCAGCCCCCGGACTTCCCAGGAAGCCTGCACAAGGGTGTGGGCGCGGCACCAGCAGGACCAGTCCGGGCTCACTGGCTCGTGCTGGCCGGCCCAGCCCCACCAGGCTGGAGCCGAGGCGCTTCTGCGAAGTGGCAGCACCTGATCCCTCGCCACAAGGGGCTTCGTCTCTGTCTGCTGGGCTGCCGGGGGGCGCTCGGTCAGTGTTGGCAGACTTTCTTCCAGCAGTGGTTCCTTATTTTTCTCCTTTCTCAAGGCAATTTCTTTTCTGCAGCTGACATAAGTAACACAGGCAGTGAGCCAAAGGGGAAACACAACGGCCGGAGAGCTCTGAACACGTCCCATTCCAGTGCTAGTCACAGAAATACAAACTAAATTAGCCAAGGGAGCCACTATTCATTCACATGTTTACAAAGACTTTTAAAATTCCTATGATTCAACAGCAAATATGGCTCCCAAATTTGCGCTTTCAGCCCAGTCTCTTCTCCAAACTCCAGACTCACGCACTAAGCAAATTTGACACCACGATCTGAAAGTTTAACACGAACCTCAAACTTACAAGCAGACCAGACTCCACCTGGTCCGTCCAGACAGGAGGCGGTGCCAACCTTGGAGGCCCCTGCATACCCCGCTTCCCGTGGGACCCGCCTTCCCCACATGCCTTCAGGGTGCCTCCCCACCTGGACGCCTGCAAATGCTTGGTCCTCCGTCCCCCTCCACTCCCCCACCCGGGAGACGCCCCCACAGGAGGGGTGAGTCAGTAATAATTGCCCCTCAAGCACTGTCCCAGGGCCCGGCCAGCGTGGGAGATGGGGCCTGGGGCTTGGCGGGGACGCAGGAAAGCTGGGAGACAGGAGACCCCGAGCACGAGGAAGCTCCCGGCCCCGCTGGACGCACCTCGCCTGCTCCGCATCCCCCATGTGCGTCTGCCCGGCCAGGTCTTCGTGGAACGCTGCTGCGTCCCTCAGCTTCAACTCGGAACAGACCAGGGCCAGTCTGCAGGGGGAGTGGGGGCATCGCGCTAAGTCAGGCTGCCCTGCGCCCAGGGGCCCGGCCTGGAGTGCAGATGGGACAGGACGGAGCTTGAGGGCATCTTCGATAATTGTTCAAGCTGAGCAGAATTACTAGGGAAATAACGGTAGCGCTATCAAACTGCAGGTAGAAAATGTCACCTTCATTCACGCATGTTACTCAACACACGTTCAGTCTCAGGGTCACCTTGAGCAGTGCCGATAAGGCGCAGTACGTGGTGCCCAAACAAATTCTGCTTTGATCTCTTGCGCAAAACAGTTTCACTTTGAAATGATTTCACGCTTACAGAAAAGTTACACAAACGTGCAAAGCATCGCGCAGCCCTTCAGCCAGACCCCTCCCCCCGCTCGGCGTGCACACCGTTTTCTGAACAGCTTTGAGTCGGGTGAAGACGCGGTGCCCCTTCGTTCTAACACTGCCATGCGCGTCCTTGGAGCAATGATATTCCCTTAAAGACTGAGGAGAAGTTTTAAAATAAAAACCCTATTTTTGTGTGTAAGTATCTTCATTTATTTGGCTTTACAAATCTTAGGGATTTTATTATTTAAATAAATGGCCCACTACATTATTAATACTTAAAATGTTATTTGCTTTTATATTGCTTTGGGTAGATGTTCACTTTAGCTGCCAAGCGATTCCCGGCTCCCCCGACCGCAGAACAGGCTCACCCACCGCAGGTGGTAGAGGTCTTCCAGGCCTTTGCTTCCCACCACGGAGGCTGCAATCAGTGCGCCCAGCTGCAGGACCGGGACCGCGAGCTCGTGGAGGAACAGCTTCTGCAGGGCCTCGGCCAGGTGATCCAGATAATACAAACTGTGCGTCTACACCAACAACAAACGCGGAAGGTCGGAGAGGAGCGGGGGGGCGGGCCTCCCGCTCAGAGGGCCCTCCTCCCAGGGCTCTGTCCTCCCAGGGCGCGCACACAGGGTGTCGACACGTGTTTGCTGAGTGATGAGGGATGTGCCCCCTGCCTGCTCCCCTCCACTCAAGCCTTCATCTTTTTATGTGTCTTCGCCTATAATCTCAGCGCCCAAGAACGGTTAGAGGCCCTCACAAGAAAAAAACATTTGTTTTCTTTCAAATGAATGTTTTTGTTTCATTTCTTTACGTACACATACAATTGCTTTAAAACGTAATGCGGAGAACAAACTAGTGGTTGTCAGTGGTACTTCTGATTTTTCAGGCGGTGGAGCTGAGGGCCCACCGAACGCTAAACGCTCCGGCTGCATCCCGAAAGCCTGCACCGGAGGCTCAGGGGCCAAGAGGCAAAGCGGCTCCGGCGGGGGCTCCATCCAAGCCCAGCAGCATTTGGTGGCCTGGGAAGTGTGTGGCTTTTTGAGAGACTAATAACTGACAATTCCCGGTGAGGCCGATGAAGACAGAGGGAGGGGGAGACACAGAAATGCTGACAGGTCCTACAGACCCTAAAAGACAGGAAAAGGACACTGAGAATGACATTCTGACAACACATTCAAGATTGTGCATTACATGGAAACATCCCAGAAAAGCACAAGCTAGCAAATTATTACAAAAAGAAACATAAAACCTGAAGGGTTCCGTGACTATTAAATACATTGGGTCCATAATTAAAAATCCTCCCCGAAGATCTGGGCCCAGAAGTCTGCACCAGGGAATTCTTCAAAACACTTCAGAAAGAAGTAACTGATTTTACACACACTCTCCCCAAGAACAGTTAAGGGAAAGAAAGGAGCAGTCTCCAGCTGGCCGCAAGGTCAGTGCGGCATCGTGAGCCAACAGGGAACACGCGTCTGCTCTTCGCTGCTGGCCCCCAGCCCCCAGCCCCCAGCCCTTAACCCCGGCCTGTGTCACTCACAAGCCCCTTTCAAGCACACCTTTGTTCACGCTGACAGGGTGACTGCTCCAGTCCCCAGAGAGCTTCGGGGTGGTGGCGGGGTGCTGGCGGCCAGAGGAGCCAGCCCTGCAACCAGAGAGTTGAAACTCTCAGCCCCGCCCTGGCATCTGGGGAGGGGGAGGGGCTGGGGACTGAATTGGCGCTAACGGCCAAGAGCTGCTCAACCAGCCACACCTCTGAGAGGCAACCTCCACGAACACCTCCGGGAAGGGGTCTGGGGGGCCTATGGGCTGGTGACCACAGCCGCCTGCTGGTGGGGCGGGGCCGGGCCCCGGCTCCGCAGGGACAGAAGCGCCTGGGCTCGGGCCCCCAGGTGTCGCCGGGGGGCCTCTCTGTGGGCTCTTCACCTGTGCCCCTTACGGTGCCCTTCGTGGTAAAGCAGGCGTCTGGTGAGCGCAGAGCCTCCCTGAGTTCTGGGGGTCGTCACAGCAAACACTGGGCCTGCGGAGGGGTCCCGGGAACCCCACTTGGGCCCACGCTGGACAGAAGTGCCGGCGGCCTGGGACCCGATACTTGTGACCGGCGTCTGCAGTGGGGGCAGTCCGGGGGACTGAGCCCTCAACCTGTGGGGCCTGCGCTGACCTGGGGAGTTAGTGTCAGAACTGGGCGTCCACAGGGAACCGGAGAGCTGGCTGCTGATGCGGAAAACCCGCATGTCTGGGGCCAGGAAATAGTTCAGAGTCAGTGTAAGTTTTCACCAAATCCTAACAAGGGTGTAGTCTGAAAGTAAAGTTAAAAGCCAGTTTTTCTCATGAACACAGAGGCAAACACCCCGGCAAAGCAACAGCCAGTTAAATCTGATGACGTACAAAGCAGACGATGCTTCCCATCCAGGCCGACTTGATTCTGGTAAAACATGAGGGGAAATCCACGTAATTAACTTAAGGAAGGGAAGACAAAAACATCATTTGAATAGAGAGACAAGACATTTGATAAGAATCCACAGCAATTCATGATTAAAACTCTTAGCAAATAAAGGAACTCCTTTAATCAATAAAAAACACGTACCAACAGCCACAACAAATGTCAGCTACGCTCAGTGAAAGGCTGAGACAGAGAGCAAGACAAGGGCGGGGCCGTGACCATTCTCGCTGCACATCGTGCTGGCGGTGGCCCACAGAACACGGCAAGGCAAAGAGGTAACAGGTGGGATGGTTAGAATTAGGAGAAAATGTTTGCAGGTGAAATGCAGATTCTGCGCACACACAAAATCCACAAGTATCTGCATATAAGTTACCAAAATTATTAACAGGTTAACCAAAGTGATGGATGCAAGGTCAAGAGGAAAACAATTCCATTTCTAAGTTTCATCTGGAGTTAAAAAAGAAACAAAAGAGGAATATTTATAACAACATCCAAAATACCAAAGACGCAGAAACAGCTCTCACACATGCATCACCTCCATGCAGAAAACCCAAGCCCGTTACCGGGAGGGTCGGGGAGACCCTGTCAGTGGGAACCAGACATGCCCACGGGCCGAAAGACTCCGCGTGGAGACGCCCGTTCTCCCGAGTCTGAAACTGATCTTGAGATCCAGTCACAACCGAAACTCCACCAGGGTTTAAACGGAAGCTGACAAGCTGGTTCTAAAATACATGTGACACACAACGGAAGATGGAAGGACACCCAAGACCTTCTTGAAGAACAAGTCAGAGGAAGTTCCCTCCCAGATATTCCAGGCTACGAAGTCCAGGAGTTGAGGCAGACGTGGTGTGAGGACGAACGCCTGACTCACGACAGAAGTGGGGTTTTCAGTCAGCCGCGTTAGAACACTCACATGTCCGGGTTTAAAAGCTTGAAACCGGCTCGGCGCCTTGCACCACACACCACATACAAACCAGTTTCAGATCTAAATCTGACAGATAAAACTATAAAGCTTTGGGGGAAATCCTGGAAGGGACTATTTTCATGACCTTTAGAAGGAGGACTTTTTGAACAGGACACAAAAGCACTAGTTGTAATGGGAAAGATTAATAATCTTTATTCCATTAAAATCAGGGATCTGTATTCACGAGACCTCAAGAAACTCGAAGTTCAGAGTGAAAGGTGACCCGCTGTTCAAAAACTGTCCAAGTGTTTTCCAGGACAGGTAAGGGACTCTTTCAGCTCAACCAGGAAAAGGCGGAGAGCTTCACAAACTGGGCAGTGGATTCACAGGCACGTCACCGAAGAGGACATTCAAGTGCCAAAAGGCACTGAAAAGTGTCTGGCCTCCCCGTAATCGGGGTGTCCCACCCCCCGCCCAGAGTTAGGAAGGCGGGGCAGTGGGGCTGGGAGGATGGGGGCGGGAGCTCCTGCCCACTGAGGGGAGATCCAACTGGCACAGCCCCCACGAAGGCCGTCTGTCAGTGTCCCTACAGCGGAACGTGCGCTGCGCTGCGCTGGGCGTGCACCTCGCCGTGGACCCGAACAGAAGCCTCCGTGGGTGTGACTAAGACGAGGACCCTGGGCAGGGTGGTTCTTCTAGACTATCCAGATGGCCCGACAAGCGGGAGAGGAGACACTGACAAAGACGGAGGCAGAGTTTGGGGTGACGAGGCCACCAGCCCAGGGATGCCCTGACCGCCAGCAGCTGAGAGGCCAGAGGACCCCTCGGATTCTCCAGAGGGAGTGGGCCATGCTGACCATCTGAGCCCTGCCTGGGGATACTGACTTGGAACTTGCAGCCGCCAGAACGGGGAGGGGAAAACGCCCTGTCTGTGTGGCCTGTCACTGCAGCCACAGGCCACTGGTGGGCACAGCTAAACGCTCACGGTTAGGGGTGGCACCTGCGTGCTGAGTGGCTGAGGAAAAGCACGTGGGCCCCAGATACAGCAGTTGCTTGGGGAGCGGCAGCGGTGAGGGAAGGCGCTTGTGGGGAGGGCCTGGGGCCCTCACACAGGAGCCCCTTTCTGATAACCCACTAAGCTAAACCGGGTCCTCCTTCGCAGCAGAGAGGCCCGACCCTGGACGCAGGCTGGCCGGGGGTGACCAAGGCCTGGGACTGTGCCTTTAGGTAAACTTACCGGCTTCTGGATGCTTGAAGAGTTAACAGTAAAGTTGCTCTGGTCCTGTTTGAACACAGATACCACTTCCTCAGGGCAGGAGTAGGAAGCCCACTCGTCCACGCTTGCTGGTAAATCCTCAAGCCGTCTGCGAGGAGTGGGGGGTTGACACTGAAAGGCAGGAAGGCAGGCTTTGCTGTAAGAAGCGGAGTTGGAGACGTGCAGCCAGGTGGCCCTGCTCCAAAAGGGGTCGTGAGCCCAGAGGAGGCGGTGCCTCTGGAGACGGGGTGGCCCAGATCTGCCGCTGCACCTGCACCCAGGGCACCTGCCACCCTCCCTGGGACCCAAGCCCAGCCATGTGCCACGCAGACAGACACACACACGACTCTGGGGCAAGACACACTCTGACCCCACTTCCCGGAGAGCGCACACGGAGGCTTTCCGCCCCTGCGC